GAGTAACGCCTAACTAGAAAACTTATCTAGTCAGAAAATCGAACCGAAATTTACGTATTAACATGTTCACTGGAAACAGCCAGATATGATAATAGTGAGATAAACTGTGACACTGCAAACAGGAAAATATCATGCCCCATTTCTGGAAATGGTTCCACACTGTCATGCTAGGCCCTGGCCTTGGCAGGTGCCGCCGGCAACTGAAAGTGCACGGCTGGGCTGCTCGTTGTCAGGGCTCCCACAGGGACAGGCTCACCTCCTGAAGGCAGAAATGCCTTTCAGATCTTAGCACTGTTTTTTAAAAGCCATGCATTTCCTCCAGGATAAAGGGATTAATATTCGCATTATTTGCCAACATGCCTCTGTGCCCACGACAACCCAAACACTACCAATTACCAAACAGAAAAAGCAAGCCTGGGGAAGAAACGACCTGGTGCTGCAGAAGCAGCCTCCTTCCCTCCCGAGGTTCCTCCTGGTGGCCTCTGGCAGGACAGATTGTCCACAGGCTCACTCCAGGTGTGGCAGCAGCTGACTATCCCTCCCTGGGGAATTTGTTTCTTTCGCCTGATAGAATATATTAAGACAAGTTGAACTTCATTTTTATTAGCCTTTTTAGGGAACCAAAATTCCTTTAGATCCAGATGTGTTTTCTGTTCGAACCTTAATAATTTAACAAAAATAGATCTGACTGCCAATTGGTTCACTCAACACTCATGTACAGAGCATCACATGTGGTAAGCGCCCCCACCTCCCATCCACCCTCTATACCACCTGAGCTGCCTAACCACCTGGTGAAGCGGGAATTATTATGTCCTCCAAACTAGCAAATAGACCTGCTCTGGCCTCATGACGAAGTCACTCAGCCACATCTGGCGACTGTCCTCAGATGTCCGAAGTGCTGCGTCTCAAACCACTACCCTAACAAAGGCAAGCCCACCCTTCTTTAGTTATGAGACAAAGAGGTGGCCTCCCAACTGCTAACTATCTTTCTATGCCATGCAAACGAGACCTCAAAACCACCTTCTCAAATTCTCCAAGAAGAGACAGTAAAGGAAAGCAGCTCCTCGGCCAATTCCGATTTACTGAAAGCAAGAAAAACATGTAACCACCTCTTAATGCCATGGGCCACGCTCCACACCGCAGGGCCTCACCCCTCTCCTTGCTGTCCCCCAGACTGAAGAGCGCCTGCCTGGGCCTCTGTCTGGAGGCGGCCCCACCATGCATGGATGCCAGGAAGGGGGTCCACGTGCTGCCCAGTCCCTGGGGTGGGCAAGGGGGTGTTGAGGATGAATGCCACAGATTCACGGAGAGCCCCTTGTGAGTTTTCACACCAGGGCTCGGGTATATGGCTCCTAGAACTGGGCTGATCTTCCAGGAATAACAGAAATATCGCATAAAAGACTGTAGCTTTTAAAACAGAAGTGATTATAATAAATCTTTGCTTTGCAGGCGGTAGGGATTTATGGTGTGCCAGACACATTTACAAATGTCATTTCACTTTGATTCTGAGCCTCAGAGCAATATGTGAGGTCGCCATGGGAGAGGTCCATGTCGCACTGAGATGGGGAAATGGAGGCTCAGGGGGCATCCCTGATGCAGCACGTAGCAGGACCGAAACGTACATCCAGGTCCCCTGGCTCCACCAAAAGCCTCTACTACACCACAGAGGGGACTGAAGCACCATGAAGAAGGTCTTTGCTTTCAGACAAGAGTGCAGTGAAAACCACGGCTCTTCTCTCTCACCCCGTCCCCCTACCTGTTTCTCCAGAGGCTGCAGTGAAACAAGGTCAACAACGTCAATGAAATGTCACCTCTCACCCTGCACTGAGCCCGGCTGTGGGGGCCCAGTAGGCATCTGCCCAGGCCTGGTCCCACCACTGGCCCACGATACCTATGGGGAAAGGGAGTCAGCACAGGCGGTAGGAGGGTGACGAGGAGACAGATGCGGGTCTGGAAACAATAGTGCACGGAGGCAGGGGCTGCACTGGGCACGTAATAGACATCATCTCATGTAATCCCTGGAGCAACTTATGCAGCAGGTATCATCCCATTCCATAAAGCAAGAAACTCAGGCTCCAAGAGGTAAAGTGATGCATTGAAGGTCACATAGCTAACGCATGATAGAGCTGGGATCTGAGTCCAGGGCTGCCTGATTCTGAGAGGCCATGGGACCGAACTACATTTCCAAAAGAACTCCCTGAGCCTCCCTATGAAAAAACGGTGCTACAGATTGAATGTCTCCTCCAAAACTCATGTTGAAACTTAATCCCCAGTGTGGCAGTGTTGGGAGCTGGAGCCTTTAATTGGTGATTGGGTCATGAGGGCTCTGCCCTCATGAATGGATTAATCCTTTCAAGGATTAATGTGCTGATGGATGACTGGGTTCTCATGGGCAGGAAAATGGTAACTTTATAAGAAGAGGAAGAGGGATCCGAGCTAGCACATGAGCACGCTCAGCTCCCTTGCCATGTGATGCCCAGCACCACCTGGGCACTCTGCAGAGTCCCCGGTAGCAAGAAGGCCCTCATCAGACATAGCTCCTTGACCTGGGACTTTGCAGCCTCTATAAGAAATACATTTCTTTATAAATTACCCAGTTTCAGGTATTCTGCTATAAGGAACAGAAAACGAACTAGTACAAAAAGGGGAAGAAAATTAGGGCAAGAAATGGAAGCAGCATGCAACGCAGCAGGGGGCTGAGCCCGACCCAGAGCCTTCACGCCTCCCGGCAGGCACCTCTGCCCACACAGGCATGTGCAGCTTCCAGGCTGTTCTCTGCTGAGAGGCATCCCGGGGCCAAACCAACTTCCTAGTCTTGGCTCTAATTGTCCACTGTTCTCTCTAATTTCCCCACTATTGTCAATTTTTAAAGGGTGTTCTTAGTACACCCAGGGGAGAGGCCAAAATGAACAGAAAGGACCTTTATGATCATTAAGGACTAAAGCTTTTCTTCATCTGAAATTCCCAAATTGCCCGGGCTTCTTCCAGCCGCCCCACCAGTATTCAGGCAGGACCGGTTCATCCCTGGTTGGTGGAGACCTAGTGGCCCGTAACGCAGTGCTCCCAGCTCTGTTCACTCTGGAGCCCCTGGGGCAAGTGCCAGCCTCTGAGCCTCAGTCTCCCTGTTTGTAAATGATGGAGAAAACCTCACTCATAGGACTGTGGCAAGGAGTGCATGGCAGCTCTTATGCAAAATGCCCGGGACAGGAGATGCTCAGCAGTCTGAGGTCCTTCCCTTTTCTCTGTCCTGTGCCGCTCCAATTCTAGAACCCTCCTTACCCTTAGGGCCTACCTAGAACAGTGCCAAGGGCAGTCCGTGCCCTGGGAAGGGCATCGTTTCCAGACTGCAGGGACTTCTCCCCGTTCAGCCTTGTACCATCAGAACTTCTCCCCCAGGGCTCTGCTCCTGGGTGCCCCGCTGGTCATCCAACCAAACAAAGGCCCCCAAGCCATCTCAAAAACCCTTACCTGGGGTTAGGGCTGCCGACCCTAAGACAGAAGGGAGGAGCCCACCTGCTGTCTACCTCCCCACCCCAGGTCACTCTGCTCTCTGCTCTTGGCACCCTGTTCTGCCTGTGGCCCTCCCTTCGCTCACTTGCCCCATGAAAGTCCTGCATAGCTGCCTGGTGGAATCTCCTTCGGTAATAGATAAAATACAGCTAGTCCCCCTGGGCCTGACCCCATCCCACAGCCAGGGGGACCCAGGTGTCTTCCCTGGCTCAGCTGTCTGAGTCCAGCGACACAGCTGACTGTGCCCAGGTCATCAGGAGACAGATAGGACATTTCCACCTAGAAAAGTGGCTGGGCTACAGGGAAGCCTCCAGGGAACCAAACAGTGAAACCCTCTGCAGGAACACCAGGCCTTTCCTTCCTGCCACTCAGGCGGGCTCAGAGAGGAGGAAGAGTCCACAGAAGGAGCCCGAGTGTAAAATGCAAACCCACAGCCGCCACGATGGTGCCCACCTGGTCCCAACAGCGTTCACCTATGAGGGGCCAGGAGGCAGCCTCTGCAGGACCAGGAGGTCTGCGGGCGGGACGAGGGGGTCTCCAGGCTGAAGGGGGCTGGTGGAGTGCAAGGAGAAAGGCTTGCTTTCTCCTCATGCCACTGGAATCATTTTCATGTGTCTCTAGCCCATGAAAGGGGCAGAACAAGCTTATTAATGAACTGGATCCTGGATCAAAGAGGAGTTACTCATTCACAATGACCTCTTGGGTAAAGAAGAGGAAGAAAGGGGATATATATGCTTACAACTGACTGTCTGCAGCAGATCCAAAATAGATGAGCTGATTAAATAATTTCCAGAGAATAAAGATTCTCACTTCAATAGAAATACTAAGCTCGTTTCTCAGCAAAATATTTTTGAGTTCAATTTAGAAAGGCACAGTGTAGGGTGGAAGTTCCCAGGTGCAACAAGAAGCCATCAAATAAACTGTGCTAAGTGTCTAGTAATGGAGTTCTCTTGGGGTTGAACACAACACTGAGTTGAGGCATTTACAAAACAAACACTTTTCCACACAAACAGCATGAAAAGCTGTCCACGCATCGTCGTGGTGAGTGGGGTGAAAACAAGGGGTTCACCACACCCTGTTCTCTTCTGCCATCCTAAGCCACTCTCAGTTCTGGAAACAGTTGCAGAGCACACGCTCAGCCAGACACAGTCAACTGCCATTTCAGAAGGCAGCCCACTCTACAGCAAGTGCAAGTCAAGACGGAGGCCGAGATCCGCCTGCTCACCTGTTTTGACGGGCACTGAGCCCTTCTCATGTCTGCACTGTCACCTGAGTGCTGAGCTGCCCGCCCAGGTGAACAAAGATGCCCCCACGCAGAGGTGCCGGCGCAGCATAGGGAACCCGTCTTTTTCCCCCAAGGTTTCCCGTGATGACCTTCAGCACCCACCCACATCTGGGGTGCCCGGCCACAACCCCCAAGACCTTGTTTGTGCATTTGGAGAAAAGAAGCACATCCACCCAGAATCAATGGGTGGCTGGCGGGTACTCACCCCACTGCAGAGGCGCCAGCTGCAGGTGCTCCAGGACGAGCTGGTTCAGGAGTCCTTCCACACTCGCCTCGCCACTGCGCTTCAGGGACGGGTGAGTCTTGGTCAAGGAAAACGCAGCTCCTGCTGAGCCCAGAGACAGGAGAACATCTAGAAGTCTCTAGACAGAGACCCTCAGATGGGAAACCTCCTAGAGCAGATGTCTCCCCTCTTCTGAAGGGACTGTCTAACCAACCACTATGACATCACCCTGGGTATGTGGACATTAGGGGCATATACAACAGCAAGTGCTTCTCCTTCTACCCCTCAAATCTAGTAAATTAAACTACTATTATGTAAGAAAGGGAAATCCACTGGGATAATTTTAATCCAATAACTATTCTTGCTGGGGAAAATAAAGAGAAATGGAAGGTTATTTTTCCTTAATAAAACATGCAAACTGGTTCACTGTTCAATACAACTCGCGAGTTCCTTGACGCACGTCAGTTTCATGCTGGTTTCACGTCAGTCCTGTTATCCGTCTTGATGTAATTACACATATTATTAAGAACGAGCTCACTTAAAAGAGCTCATAATCGAGGAAGCCATAAAGTCTCTCAGCAAGTATCACTGGATGAAGTAATTAGGCCTAAAAATGTAGAAAACAGAAACCTCCCTTGCGCTAGTATTAAACAGCCAATGTGATTCGCAAAACCAATCTGTAAACCTGTTTCCCTTTTCCTACATAAGTTAAAGCCACCATATTTAAGTTGCAATAAAAGGGTAAATTTTTAGTTTCTGACATTCTCTAGTGATTGCAAAAGTGGAAAAAACACCCCACCTTCCTTCTTCCTTTCATGTTAATTCCATTCAACAAACACATCCAGTTCATCTGAAGCACGCCATGCACAGCGGGTGGGGTGGCCTTGAGGATGAAGGAAGGGCGGGCCACGCACCCTGAAGTTGAGAGGTTCACATTCTGGTGAAGGCAGCAACATGAAACCTAAGACTTGCAATGGCCAACCCTGGGGACAGTCGTGTGAGAACAAAGTTCCTGCAGTTTGAGGTAGAATGGAGCAGAGGCTAAGCATTGCAAGCGAGAGAGAGCAGGACGAAACGGAGGCCCCTGCATCTCTCCTGCTGGCTGGTGGGGGATCGGGCTCAGAGGTGCTGAGCAGAGCGGGCACATCCCCCTCATCAATGGTCCAATGCACTAGCCAGAGAGGGCTGTCCAGACAAGAAGGCTGCCCAAGAGAGCCAGCTGGCCACAGCACCACAGCCACCAGCAGCAGTACAGGCTAAGGTCAGCAACATGCTGGCCTGGGGGCTCAGGAACCCCTGCCCACTCCTGTGTCCTATTTTATTTTACTTATTTATTTATTTATTTATTTATTTATTTATTTATTTTTTCAGATAGAATCTCACTCCGTCACCCAGGCTTGAGTGCTGTGGCACGATCTCGGCTCACTACAACCTCCGCCTCCCAGGCTCAAGTGATTCTCCTGCCTTAGCCTCTCGAGTAGCTGGGATTACAGGCACCCCCCACCACGCCCAGCTAATTTTTGTATATTTTTAGTAGAGATGGGGTTTTACCATGTTCACCCAGGCTGGTCTCAGACTCCTGACCTCAAGTGATCTGCCCATTTCCCAAAGTGTTGGGATTACAAGCATGAGCCACAGTGCCCGGCCCTATTTTAGCTATTGTGGACTTCTTTCAATTCTCCCCAAATACTGTGTGCTCTCTCTGAATTCCAAGCCTCCCCTCCCACACTCTGTGCATTCTGCCTGGGATGTCTTTTCCTGCCCTCTTCTCCTTCCTGACATTATGTCTCAACCTGACATTGCTTCTCCTACAGGAACCCTCCAGAAGGCGTGCATGCATCCCCTGACAACCTGCGCTAGACGCGGTCATCTTCCTGTTTCTTGGCTTTAGCCCTAGTCTGTGAGCTCCATGAAGGCAGAGACCTGGTCTTAGGGCCTAGAACAGTGTTTGGTTCACTGCAGTTGCTCAATGTATATTGCCTGATGAATAAATGAACACCAAATGAGCAAACATCCCAGGTGGGAGTGCAGGTGCCACGCCTCATTCAGCAGCACAGCCCGCAGCCCCTCCACACACAGCACAGCGCAGTGGCTGTGACACTCAGCAAACCTTCCTGCACCTGACGCCCGGGGCCTGCTGACAGCTTCTGCACATCCTCAGGCTTCACTGCTCAGGGTCTTCTTGCTCCTGGCCCCAGTCCACACATGCTGCTTGCTTCATTCCACAGCAACCCAAATGTCTAACTCATCCCGTCTTCCCTCAGTAGAGAATCTGAGGGCTTGGGAGTTGTGGCTGAAGCTCTGAGGCCGGCAGAGGTGCCCCGGCCCTGAGTAAACAGCTCCTGCTCTCACTGACTCTGCTCCCTCTTTTCTCTTCGTGGAGCTTGGTGCCCAAAAGGGCAGGTTCTGGAGACTCAGCTCAACTTTGAATCCTGGCACTGCCACTGATGAGCTTTGGTTAATTTACTTAAAGTCCCTGGCCTCACTTTCTTCATCTGTAAGACGAGCATGCTAGCAGTGCTAACTTCACAGGGCCGCCACGAGGAGTGCCCAGAATCATACTCCTGGCCTGTGGGTAGCATTAAGTAAGTGTCGCCTACCGTTAGCATCAGCCTCATCCCCATTCTTCTCCTCTCTCCTGTTCCTCCTCCATCTCAGAGGAGATGCAGAAACTTCTCTCCTTGCCCCAGGAATTCAGCCATCATTTCTGCTGCCTCCAACTCCCTTGGGGATCTCACTCTCCCGCAAGCAATTTATCAAAGTGTTTCCTGCACAGATAATTCCCTCCTTAGAAGAATTCTCCAAACGAAATTTTCTCCATCTCATTACACACACGGCCCATGTCTGTTGAATTGATATGGCTACTGATAAATACTCTGCAATGAACTTTTAATTATCTTCTTTTGACCTGTGACAATCCTCATTCATTCAATAGTTAACAGGTAGCTACCTGAGCTAGGGTTTGGGGTTATGGAGCTGACTGTGACCCAACAGATGGCCCTTCAGAACACGGTGACCTCCAGCAATCACACTTCTGGGTTTATACCCAAAGAACTGAAAGCAGGGACTCAGGCAGATGTTTGCAAACCCATGTTCGCTGCAGTGATATTCACAATAGCCAAAGGGTGGAAGCAGCCAAAAGTCCACCAATAGAGGAACCAATCAACAAAATGTGATCTATCTGCAGAACGGAATGTTATTCAGCCTTTAAAGAAAAGGAAATTTTGAAAACGTGCTACAACATGGATGAACCTTGAGGACATTATGCCAAAGGGAACAAGCCAGGTACAACAGGACGAACACTTACGATTCCACCGACCTGAGGCACCCCCAGTGGTCAGATCCAGAGACAGAATGGATGGTGGGCACCAGGGGCAGGGAGGCAAGGAATGGCAGGGAGCATTTCATGGGTGCCCAGTTTCAGTTTCGGAAGGTGAGAAAGTTCTGGAAGCAGATGGTGGTAATGGCTGCATGATAATTTGAAAATATTTAACACTCCTGAGCTGTACACTGAAGCATAGTTAAGACAGCAAATTTTCTTAAAATGCCGACCTAGGAGGGAGGCTATAATTAGGAAGTGGAGCGACGCTAAGGAAGCCCAGAGGAAGTCATAATCAGGGACAGAGAACTGAGAAATCTCACAGGGTAGGGGCATTTGAGAAGACGGCCATGGCGGGAGCTCTGGAAGCTCTTGACAAGGACGGCCCCCCTGCGGCCCCCTCATCCTTCCTAAGCAACTTTGCAGGCAGCTTCCCCCAGTCAAGCATGCAGCCGCCCCGTGTGTTCATTCATGTTGCATCAATGGCCATTTTCTCCCTTGGCAGTCAGGCTGCATCTCTGCGAGGGGTGCCCCTTCTCGGGCAGTAGGCACAGGAAGCAACAACTGGGGATTGGGGTCCTGCCTTCTTGCATCTCCCACGATGAGGATGCAGGCCGCAGCCCCAGGCCTATTTTGAGCGCCAGCAGCAGCGAGGCACCCCTCAAGGAGGCAGTGCCCTGCAGGTCTCTTATCTTTTTGCAAAAGCAAATCCGTCTCTCCCTCAAGAAGCCAGCATAGGTGGAACCCAGTGGGTACTTTGGATGTCCAGGGTGTTTGGGACCTTAGGCATGAGCTGCATGGTCCCTTCCCAAGCCCTAAGTCAAAACAGGGAGGTCAGGCCCTATGGACATCTGGGCATTAGGGCTGTCCATTCAGAGCACCCCATCAGGGCTAAGGAGGTGCCCTGTTCCAGGCCCAGGGACGTCTGCAGAGGTTGAGCTTGCTCCCTTCCACTGCACCCTTCTCAGGAGAAACAGCCGGGCCCAAGGACACCACGTCCGCCTGCCCAGGGCAGTCCACTCCCAGCCTCGTGGTGAAACCAGGGTCCCAGACGTCTCCTGGGAGGGCCTTAGGATCCAGATATGTGGCAGGCTCACAGGTGGAGCGAGGGCTGGCCTGGCTGGGCGACGAGGGGTCAAAAGCCATTGTGAGGGGCCTCCTCCGGGTCTGTTTTCTCAGTTTTCAAATAGGGGAAGGCGAAGGCTTGTCTCCCTGAGGGACTGAGCACTCCTGGAAACATTTGTTCTCGTAACCCAGCACCTAGTTCAGGTGATTCAGGCCCCAAGTGAGGTTAGAAAATATCTGGCTGTCTGTGCCTGAGTGCTGGCTCTCGAGAAGGGACCACTATTCAGCTCAGTGGTTAGGCCACCTGCTTTCACTACGGCTGAGGCAAAGGGGTCTCCATTCCCCTACCCCGCCCACAGCCAAGTTCCTGAGTAAATGGCAACCCACGCTCAGTTTCCCAGAAATTTTATTTTCTTAAGAGGAGTTGCTTAGTATTTAGAGCTGATTGGCTGGGAAGGTCTGTGTCTTTTTGAGCAGGGCATTGCAGGGTTTCATTTCCATGGATAATGAGTGAATTGTTTTTCTTCCTTTGAACCCACAGATTTGAATATCCCCATTTTAATGCTCAAGGCACCATATTAAATTACTTGTCAAGGTGAGGAATGTGAAAGTAAGGGAATCTCATCAGCCAAGATTAAAGAACTTTTCTGAAGGAAGGGGAGGAAGCGCAGCATGTGCCTGGCACGTCG